CTGTGACCCATATCCAAGCATGGTCAAAGCAAGAGAACACTGCATCAGCACCAGCAAAGAGATCCCTGCAATCCCCCTTGGATCAGTCACTCAATTCTCCCCAGTCTGTGGACCAGAAGCTTTGGATGCAGCTGCTGCTCCGGGGCCAAGCTCTGGACTGGGTCTGGGACCCCATGCTTATCTTTCACCACAGACACAAACTTTTCCCACTGACTTTCTAAACTGTCTTTGGCATTCTTGGGTTGAGAAGTCTAGAAACTGCCACAGCTACACATGATTCAGTCCTCTGAGGCCTGCTCCAGGTTCACTGAAGCCTGCGTGCCCATGCCACACTACATTCCTCTCCCTACTCCTCTCCCTGTTCAGCGCAATATACCTTTCTGATCAACTGGAAATTTGTTTCACTCTGTCTTTTTATGAGTTCTGCTGCCTTGGAATTTGTTTAGAACCATTTTTATAGGTATTTGGAGGGGTTTGGGGGAGAGCTCAAGCAAGTCACTGCTTTTACCCCACCATCTTGGCTCCACCGTCCCAGACACTAGCTTTGTGACTCAGAGCAAATCATTTAGCCAGCCTGCCTCAATTTCCTTACCTATAAAATGTGGGTAATGATAACATCCACTTCCCAAAGTTATTGTCAGGAGAAAAATGAATTATGCTATAAAAATGCTAGCTATTATTGTTATAGAAGCCATAAGATGAATAGTCATCCTTGCTTTAAACATATTTTTATTGGGAAATCTCCTAGTGTTTTCCATTTGCAAGTGTTTGCTTTTAGTTTTAGAAATATATTTTTATCATATAAAAATGACCATTCTATGTACTATGGAGAATTGGCATAAATGAGTATCATATTTTATCATTAGTTAACTTGAGATCTAGTAATATAATCACATAGTTTTAATTGTTTATTTTTTCCTAATATTGAACTCTTATGTCTCTCAAACAACTTTACCTCCATCAAAGTAAATAATTTATTATATTATTATAGTCTTTTCACTAGGATTTAATTTTAAATTTTTTCTATCAATAAGTGTTACATTGTTCTATAATTCTCTTTCTTTGACTTATTCCTTGTCAATGCCTACCCCTTCACCTGCAAAGTTTGTTCCATTTTATTCTGTTTCCTCCAAAAACTTGCCCCCTCTATCATTTTCACTCTATCACTTATCTTCAATCTCTCCCTAACCGCCAGATCTTTCTCTACTGCCTACAAACAATTACACATCTCTCCTATTCTCAAAAAAGCCTCACTTGACCCTTCCATCCCTGCTAACTATCATCCTAGATATCTTCTGGTCTTTATAGCCAAACTCTTTGATAAAGCCATCTTAAAATATGAACCCCCATATTTTCTTCCCTCATTTACTTCTTTAACTTTTAAAATTTAGCTTTTAACTTCATTAATCTAATGAAACTCTCCAAAATTACCAATGATATCCTATTTACTAAATCCAATAGCATTTTCTATATCTTTGTTCTCTTTGACCTATCTGCAGTTTTTGACACTATTGATCACCCTCTTTTCCTGATACTCTCTTCCCTCTAGCTTTTTAGAATATCTACCTCTACTTATTCTCTTCCTATTGGACCAGGTCCATCTCCAATTGTCCTGATCTATATCTGGCCACTGGACCCAGATGGTTCTGGAGAAGAAAGTGAGGCTGATGACTTTGTACAGCCCTCCCTCAGTTAAATCCAATTCACTTGCAAGTCATGGCATCATATTTCCGAAGTCATGTTCCTCTTTGAGAATGAAGGAGAAACCATGCAACCACAACCTTTCAGACCACTCCTTATTAGTCTCCTTTCTGGATCCTCACTCAGGTTTACATGTAGATGTCCCACAGGATTATGTCTTGGTCCCTTTTTTCTTCACTCTCTTGGTGATGTCCTTAGCCTTCACAGATTTAATTTTCTTCTCTATGTTGCTGATTCTCAAATCTACTTATCCCACTTCAGTCTCTCTGATGACTCCAATGACAAATTTCCAACTGTGCCTTTCACACACCTCAAATTGGATGTCTAGTAAACATTTTCAACTCAACATTTCCAAAATGAAACTCATATCTCCCCCCATCAGATCCTCCTTGCCTCCTAATTTCCTTTTACAGTAGAGTACAACTGTATCTTCTGAGTTCCTTAGGCTTGAAACATAGGTGTCATCCTTGACTCCTCACCATCTCTCATCTCCACATCCAATCTGTTACCAAGGCCTGTTTATTTCAACTTCTCAATGTCTCTCAAATATGTCCCTTTCTCTCCTCTGATAATACCACCAAAATAGTGCATACGCTCATCATTTTACACTTGAATTATTGCAGTAACCTGCTGGTTGGTTTATCTACCTTGTCTCTTCCCACTCCAGGGTATCCTACACTCATGTGCCAAAATGATTTTTTTTAAGTGAAGGTACAACCATGTCACGCTTGTACTGATAAAACTCCAGTGGCTCACTATCACCACGATCAAATATAAATTCCTCTATTTGGTGATCAAAGCCCCTCACAACATATCTCCTCCCCCTTCCTTTCCAGTCTTCTTACATTTTACTCCCTATCATGTATTTTTCCATCCAGGGACATTCTCCTTCTTGCTGTTCCTTAAACAAAACATCATTTCTTGGCTCCGTGCACTTTTTTTCTGGCTGTCATGCATCTCCACCTATTGGGTTCCCTGGTTTCTTTCAAATCTCAACAAAAATTCTATCCACTATATGAAGTTTTTCTCAACCCCTCTTAATTCTAGTGCTTTCCTTTTGTTAATTACTTCTTGTTTTTTCCTATATGTAGCTTGTTTATACATAATTATTTGCCTTTATCTTCCTCATTAAATCACTTCTTGAGGGCAGGGACTAACTTTTTGCCTCTTTTTTTTATCTTCGATGCACAGGACAGTCTCTGGAACATAGTGGGCATTTAATAAATATTTATTGACTGGCTTGTCACAGTCTACCTTGTTTAACCACAGACTAAATAATTTCTATCAGCTAAATGGAATATCATTACTGTACTTTTGGGAGAGAATGAACAGGATCTCATGGACTGACAGTTAACTGCCATCTCTGAGGAGTCTGTGGAAGGCACACAAAGAAGAATAAGAGAATTTCTTTCCTAAAGAAGCTTAGAGAGTTAACTGTCATGCAGAATGAATCTCTTTGAGACCAGTTAATTGCTATGAAAGAACAAGATTTTAAAGGACTTTGAAAGTTAACTATATTTTTTTAAAGGAAAGCCTAAAAAAGTATTTTGACATCATGGATCTCAGATTTAAAGTTGGAAAGAAACTTAGGTCATATGTTAGGGCCCCATATTTTACAGAGGAAATTAAGGCCCAGAAAGGTTAATTGATTCCTAAGATTTCTTCTCCTCCTCCTTTTATCTTTCTCCTTCTTCTCTTCTTGCTCCTCTTTTTTCCTTCCTCTTCTTTCCCTTTGTCTTCCTTCTTTTTCTTCTTCAGCAGCTATTTATTCTTGTTACTATTGTTATTCCCAGAGAGTTCATGAAAATTCATTTCCTTTTAGGAGAATCTTAAACATTTAGAATAGTGTTGGAATTTGAGTTCAGGATAATGAAAATAACAGCTCCAACACAGAGATTGTAGAAATACTGCTGTGCATCAAATGTGCTCAGAAAATGTTGACATTCTTTCATTCTGTGACAAATGCTGGCATTTTCCAGGAGGCAGCCTAATTTAAGAAATGGCTTTTTTTTTTCTTTTTCATCCTTCCTTAAAATAGTCTTTGTTTTCCTACAGAGCACCTGGCCACCATGCATTACTCTAAACAATTTCCTAACAGGTATCAGTGAGACTGACTCACTGAGTTAAGAAGGCATGGTGGCATACTATACAGATGTAAATGAAAATATAATAATATCCTGAATAATTAGTAAGTTAAAGGAGAAAAATGTTCATAGAAATAATAACTGTGTGAAAAATGATAATAATGATATTATATTAAAAAAGTTTAAGAAACAGAGAAAATCAATCCTCAAGGAAGGGGAGTGGGGGGAACTTATCTCTGAGTAAAATATTAAAAAAATAGAAAAAGATGAAAGAATTAACAAGCAATATGTAATTTAAGGTAAAAAATAAAATAAGTACAGATTATTTTTTAAATAGAGGAGAAATAAACTAGAAACAGAAAGTGAGATTATTTGTGAAATGTTAAATGAATTCAACTCTGTGACATTCTCTGTAACTTCACTCCATGGAATTTTATTCTCAGATATTTTTATTTCTGGAAATCCCTACTACTCAGTCTTAACCTTAATGGTAAACAATTGAATTTGTTGCTAACTGGATATAAAATCATTTGCCTTCTAGGTATTACCTGAACACAAATACATATTATCATAATGCCTAGCACATAATATTGCTTAATGAATATTTGTTGGTTATTAATTGATATGGGAAAGAATATGACTTCAGATAAAAATTGGGTAACCTTTTACAACCACAACACTATAGAATAGAATAATAGTTATTAAGAAGATTATCTGGTCCAACTCCCTGAACTTAGAATGAAGAAATTGAAGCCTAGAGAGGGCAAGTCATTAAACAAATTTGTCAGAGATTTAAAAGTGTTACCTGAATTAGGTACAAGGTAGGATTGGATGATCTTCAAAGTCCCTTCCAATTTTATGATATTTAGGGCTCAAGTAAGGACTAAATAAACAAAAGCACACTCCACACAAAAGGTATCTAAATATTTAGCAAGAAAATAATAGCTGAAGTTGCAAATCTATCCTTGCTTGAGGGCTTTCTGTTTTATTATTTCTGTTTTTTTTTATTCAGCATCTAGTTTAGAGTTTTGTACATTGCAGGTGTCCAATATGTGTTTGTTGAAGTAAATAGATTGAAATTGAAAATACTGTCAATAAAAGTCAACATAAATCCCTATTATCATCAATAGCATATTGCCTATTAAGCAACCTAATAAGACTTGTGCATTGTTTACCACATATTCACATTATTGTTATTATTTTATTTTTTTGCAGGTTCTCTGTGTGTGTGTGGAGGAGAGGATTAGCAAAGAGCTTACCACCTTCCTGTTATAACAATATTTATAGAAATGCAATGTCCCTTTGGACACTCTAAAATAAAAGAGACTAATACCAGCTTGAAGCCAGACAAGAAGCCTGTGAAACTTCAGACAGTTTTCGTCACAGCTGGCCTTGCCTGGACAGTTTCAGACAAAGGACTTCCGTCTTTATCTACCCCCTATTTTGATGTCTCATACAACTAGAGATAAAATAAAAGATGTGCTTTGAAATCCAGCTATTTAGTCGGCAAAGAAATCAACATATAAATGCCACATACAAATGATTTCAAGACGAAGTCTCTATTTGTCATGATAAAGTTAGAGATACTGAGTACACTTTTATTTTTCCCCTAATGGCAATGGACTGAAATTTTGCAGGAGAAATGTAATTGCTGGATTTGATCCATTTTGAGCTTCTTGATCAAATGTATCTTAATACAGTGATACAGAAGGAAGAGTTCCATATATGGGTCTAAGATTATGTTGGAGGGGAAATGAGATTAAGTGCATTGGAAGGGGAAGAAAAAAGCAAATCTTTCTCCATAGTCTCAAAGAATATGAAATTAATTGACCCTTCTAATATCAGACAGTCAAAAGAGGTCTGGAAGATCCCTTATTTTCAGTTTTTCTAAAGCTTTCCTCATTTTCTCTCATCATTATAACCAGAATATATTTCACAGAGATATTTTAGATATCCTAACTCCATTGTTCATTTCTCCATCACAGATAAAAATCCATTATTACATTAGTAGATGTTACTTATGAGTTATTTTGGATGAAAAAATCCATAAACCTCTTGTCAACCAGACTTACGTAGGCTTCTCCTTAAACCACAGACTGTACTTAAAGTCATTCCAGCTAGGTAGAACCCACTGGAACTTGTTATTTGTTGTCATAGATTTTGATGATACAGGCCATGGCATTTGTGGTACATGAGAGCAGCATTTTAGCGGAGAAGTAAATATAAGAGCTGATAGTTATTTAGTACTTTACGATCAACAACATGTTTATTTGATCTTTAGAACAGTGCTATTAGATAAGTACCCTTATATTAAAGATGAGAAAATTGGGGTAAAGAGGTATTGTTCGACTTACCCCAAATCGTAGGGCTAATAATGTCTTGTATTCAATACATACTAAGGGATACATACTCGAAATAAATTGCTATTTCCATTATGCCATGGATCATAGGTAATTAGAGACTTTTTACAAGCTTTCTCATGTTTTTTATAGCACAATATACAGACATTAATTGGATATAGGGATCATCACTGTTTCCTTTATCTTCTCTTGCCAGAGCTATATTACTTAAACTTTACATTTATATTCAGACAAAGACAAACAGGATTTCCAAGGGGATCCATAAATCAAATCAAATATGGAACAATTGATAAAAAGTAGGAATATTTATCCCAAGAAAAAAACTGAGTCCATGCTTGAGTTCTTCACGTATTTGATGACCAATCAATAAGCATAGATATTAGATTAGGGGTTCTTAACTTTTAATGTGTCATAGCTCCTTTGATGGCCTGGTGAATCCTGTGGACACTTTCTGAGAATAATGTTTAAAAGAATAAAGTAAAATGTATAAAACCTAAAAAAAAAAGAAAGAAAAAGTTAGTGAAAAAAATGTAACTCTTTTTCCTATCCAAGTTCATCAAGACCCTGAAATCTTCCCATGAGGCCTGTGGATCCTAGCTTAATAGCTGCTGGATTAATCTTATAATGTACACTTTTTTTTTCTTTTTTGCTTTTTGGTGAGGCAATTGGGGTTAAGTAACTTGCCCAAGGTCACACAGCTAGTAAGTGTCAAATGTCTGAGGCTGGATTTGAACTCAGGTCCTCTTAACTCCAAGGCCAGAGCTCTATCCACTGCACCACCTACCTGCCCCTATCATGTACAATTTCAAAGGGATGAATTGGGGAAAATGGCAAATATTATGGGGAAATACATTTTGATTCAAGAAGACCAAAGAGTATTCTAACATTTAGAACTATTCAAAAATGGGGAGGGGGAAGCTTGCTTCATGAAATAGTGTGTTTCCCATTACAAAAAGAAATAGATCAAAAGAAAAAAAAAGATTGTTGGTAATGTAGAAAGGTTCCCTATAGTAGTTAAGAGATTGAATTAGATAACCATTAGGCTCCCTTCGAACTTTTAGACAACACAATTTTATGAATTATTTACTAGCAATTGGGGAAACAGAATTTATTTTTTTCATGTAGAAGTTGGTGCTTGAAATTAATTTTGAAGGACAGATCCTATGAAGCAGTGGTGGAGGAAGTAGATTCCTAGCATAGAGGATGGCCAGTGCAAAGGAATTAGTATGGAAGATGGAATGACTTATGTGAGGAAAAGAAAAAGGGCCAGTTCAGTGCTACTATAGAGTACAGGATGGACAAAAGCTTATAATGAAGCTGGAAAGAAAAGTTGCAATCAGGCTCCAAAGTGCTTTTAAAGCTAAAAAAAGAATCTTATATTTAATCTGAGGTGGTAATAGGAGTGACTGGAATTTATGGAGTAGGTTGGCAGTATGATTTTACCTGTGTTTATGAAAAATCACTTGGGAAGCTGTGTGGATGAATGGATTTGAAAGAGAAAGAAACTTGAAACAGAGAGACAAATTAGGAAGCTGTTGAATAGTTCAGGTAAGAGATGACTGATGACCTAAACTCAAATGGTGTCTTTATACATAGAGAAAAGGAGGTGGACTAGAGATGTTATGAATGTATAAATGATAAAATTTGGCAACTGATTGATATATTGGGCAAGAGAGAGGAAGCAGGTGAAGACAGGGCATAGTTTACAAACTTAGGTGAGTGAAAAAAAATGGTGATGATCTCAACAGAAATAAGGAGAGAGGACCAAGCACTTTACTAAATGCTGTATATATATTCTATTTGTCATTAGAACAGCCCTGAGGAGATAGGTGCTATTATTATCCCTTTTATGCAATTAAAACGACTGGAGTAGACAGAAATTAAGTGATTTACCCAGGGTCACAAAGCTAGTAATTGTATGAGGCTGAATATGAACTCCTATATTCCTTAGTTCACAGCCAGTGCTCTATCTGTTGTATCACCTAACTGCCTCTAAATAGAGAAAAGAAATTTTAAATGAGGAAGTTTGTAAGAAATGTGGGATTTGATGAGGAAAAGATTAGTTCTTTTTTTGTCATGTTGACAGTTAGATGCCAATGGGACATGCATGGGACATCCAGTTTGAAATTCCATTTGACAGTTATTGATATAGGACTAGATCTCAATAGAAAGACTAAGGCATATAATTTTGTGTCTCATCTCCTTTCATATCTCTATGTCTGTCTGTCTGTCTCTCTCTCTATTTATATATATATATATATGTGTATACGTATATATACATATGTTTGTATGTATGTATATATACACACATGTATATTCTTGTGGAGTCATTTGCCTAACTAAACTCATAGATCTTAATAAAGTTAGTAAGAGAGTGTAGTAGTATAGTGTGGAGAGAGAAGGCTTGGTACATTCAGATGGTGTGGTAATGGCATGGATGATAAGAATGGAAAAGAGAATATAAATAATTAGAAAGATACATGGGAGAGAAACAAGGAAAGAACAGTACCACAAAAACCCAGAGGAGATAGTATCCAGGAAAAAAGGGTGGTGAGTAGTTCCAGTATCAGGAGAAAGATAAAGAAGAATAAAGACAGAGAAAATGCTATTCCACTGGACAGGTAAGAGATCACTGTAATTTTATATTTGTTTTTGGAAAAAAAGCAGTCTCATTTCAGTGATGAAACAGGAAAGCCATTTTGCAAAGGATTGAGAAGTGTCTGAAAATAAAGGAAGTGGAGGCTAAGGAATATAGCTGGCTTTTTCTAGTAATTGGGCTGAAAAAAAAGAGGGACAGTTATTGGATGAAAGCTTAAGAGGCTGGTAAGGTCTTTATTTTAAGGATGGGGAAGACAGTCATATTTGAAGAGAAGAAACAGAGTAGGAGAGATTGAAGATTAGAACAGAGACGAGAGATGAGTGAGGGAAAAATCTGATGGAGAAGATGGGAAGCAATAGCATAAAAGGCACATAGCCTTGACAAGGGAGAGGTTAAACTAATTGTCAGATAATGGAGAAAAGGAGAAGGAATTGGATGATAATGTAAAGGGTTCTGAGATAAAGATAGATGAGAGTGGGTTCATGCAGAACAACCCTAATTTTCTCAAGAAAGTAAGTGATAAGGTCCTCACCTAAGGAGGTAGTGAGAGATGGAGATGTGGAAATCTCGAGGAAAGAAAATAATATTTGGAATAACTTCTGTGAGGATTAGGACAAAGAATCAATTAGGGAATAGTAGAAAGATAGTCATGCTATATTGAAGGTGAATTTGTAGTATGTAATTATATTATTTAAATATAAAAATTTAGTGTACCTAGTCATCTCAGTTGCTTAATTTTCTCCAGCTTCAAAAAGGGTGAAGGAGAAATATGGTAGCGACAATTATATATTGAAGTTTTATAAGAAATTATATGATGATCCATAAGGATTTTTAAGAGGTGAGGCCACATGGAGTTGAAGAGGTTAATTATAAGATTGAGATTGGAAATGGGAGAAAGTGAAGTCAGAGGAGGGGCAGTGGTCTGACAAAGTACTGAGGGATCAATGGATTAAATGTCATGATGAGAGAAAATAGTTTTAGGAGGGGTGGTACAAAGTAAGATATGTTATAATAGAGCAATATTAGAATTTTTAACCATGGAAGGAGAATATTCATGAGTAATTGTGACATTCAGGGTCTGAGTTTCCCTGTTTGTATCTGAGGTGGAATGTAGGAATATTTCATGAGATCTGAGGAGACTAAGGTACTAGTAAGTTAGTGTGAGTGAGAGAACATTATATATGAAGTCTCCTTGGTATAATAAGAGAATTTAGGAAGGAGAAGTCAGTGAGCCAGAGTCTGAACTCTGAAAATGGTGGGTAAATTATCAGTAGAAAATTGAACTCCAAAGGTTAAGAAGTTGCTATGGGATGGTGGCAAAAGATGAATCTGGAAATGGTAGTGGGGAGCAAGGATTTTTTCAACTACTTCTCTGGGATCAATATGACAGCAGGTACTAGAAAGGATGGCCAGGGATGTATTGTCATCTGCCTGAAACCAGGTCTTTAGGAGTGCAAGTAGATGATGAGAGGAAACAACCTACGTGGAAAGGACGTTGATAGATTATGGAATAAAAATTCCAGATGGTGTAGTGG